TAAGCACAAGAAAGATGGATATATAAACAGCCACACAAAAGAGGTGTTGTGCAGTCTTTCAGACATCGCAGGCGAGAATGTAAGGTCCATGTTTCAGAGCAGAGACGACGGGGCCGCTTAGACACGCACTGGTCGAGGGTAATTGACGAAGTACGGAGTTAAATAAAATGTAATCTTAAAGATGAAAGATTTAAGCCGTATGTTGTTCATTGGTCCGAACGTTTTATAATTGGCGCATCCACTTCATTATAGATTGATGGATTTGAAATTGGTAAATTCAAAGGTGGAAAGAAAGACGGAAAAATGTTTTGGAAATAGGTATTTATCCGTGCGCCCACGTTACAACAGACTGTGACGTAAGATCGAAGTTTTGATGTGGCCTATGGACAAAGGTTTTACTAAACACGAGGCGACGACAGAGAAGAAGTAGAAGTGTAAGCAGACAAAGAGGGTGGAATGTGTGGCACACACAAGACGTGAACTAACGACTGGTAAAACGAGAATCATTAAAGAAAAATAATTGAGAAACGGAGAAAGAGAATTGGAGATAAACAGGAACAAAGGGAGAAAAGAAAGGCAAAAGAGAATTGGAGGAGTTATTGATTTCACGCATGCGCCGTGGACTTATTTTCGTTTAAAATGCGAAGAGCTGAACATCGAAATTAATATAAGAATTTATTTACGTTGTTTTCGATCGATTTTTGCTTCACGTTGCATAAAAGGTTTTGGATAAAAGATTTCTTTTTACATTTGAAAAACAACTTGTTTAAAAATCTTTCTAATGGTCATGGCTAAAAATTTCGGATTCTGTTCTAAATATTGCTTTATTTCTGCTAAAAAGGAGATATTGTTACAAGGTTACAGGCGTAAGTCTAGAAGCAATACTAGACAAGTTTTTTTTTCTTGCAGAAGGATAAACTATTTACACTTATAAATGAAGGGAGCTGAAAAGAATAAAACTATATTGAATCCAAGAAGCTATTTTATATAATTAAAATATTCCGAAATATGTGCTGATACATATATATCAGCTTACAAATAGCTTTATGGCGAATATTGATTTTAATCATCATTATTTATCTGATAATAATGTTATCAATTTTCTTCTTGCTTTTCTATTCATTTGTTTTTGACAATGCTTGTTTAAGATTCACTGGTTCTTCAGAGAAATGTGCTGAAAATATCGCCATGTTTTCTGTAAATGTTCCTTTTTTTTAACAATGTTCCCCTTGAGAAAAAAAGGAGGGATCTTTTCTGTTAAGTCCCCCCAAATAATGTAAAGTTACCTATCACAAATATTTATTCACCTCAAGAAATTATACATTTTTAAATCGAAATTTGCTTGTTTTTTTATTAAATTTTTGGAACTCTTTTGAAATTATAAACTTTTAGTCAAAGTTTGTGCAGTGTAGTGTTACTGACTCACAGGAAGTAGTATGCACTTAACTGCCTCATCGGAAATAGCTGTAGCTACTTATAGTCTTTGTGATTTCTTATGTAAACGAATTTGTTTATTTCTTTATTGAATTTTTGGCACTCTTTTGAAAGTATAAATTTGTTTAGTTTGCCTCGCAACAACACCAAACATTAGAATGGAAAATTACCAAAATCAGGGAGTTATTCAGATTTCCTCAGTGAGGATGATATTTGAGATTATTATAGGGAATTTTTTTACAATTATAAAAAAAAATTTTTTAAATCTGTTTTTGGCCTGTTTATTAGTGTCAGCCGACGTAGACCCCACAGAAACAGCGCACCCGAGTCGCCCACATTTGGAGCGATTGCAAAGGTCACCTCAGCTGGAGTGCAATGGGAAGGCAACGCTGTGGGAAAATTCGGTGTGAATTTTAGTAAATAAAAATTCTTTTTATTCTGAGGCGAATTAATAGTTTCGTGCGAATTGACAGGAGAGATCCAAAAGGAGGATGCCGAAAATGGCAATAAAAATATGAACCTGAGCACTACACACACATACACATACAAAAGCGAGACGGGCACTTCGACATGGTGTAATGGTTAGCAAGCTTGTCTCGTTAGATCAGTTACTGCTGAGTAGTGAGTTTGATCCTTACTTTCGGATTTATACCGCGCCGAAGTTTTGTTTAGTAAATCAGTATACACTCATGTGACGATAAGAAATTTTTAAAGGTTTAGAATTGCAATGTACTATTCCGATTTAGTCTGTTGCTTTTACTTTTGCACTAATACCTTTGGAAAAGGCATGAAAACATTCCCCCAACTACAGCATAAATCATAGTGAAGATTGGACTAACCTTGTGTGAAATCGAATCCAAGCTCTGAATTTAAAACCTTGGAGAAAGCAACGAAAAGCCATTTCACTATATTTCCCGAGAAGTTATGACAAAAGATAATAAAGAAAAGAAACTGTGGAGAGCCATCATCATTTTGCGTTTGTAGAGGTAAACTGCATTTAAAAAAATGTTTCTAACTGTTGTTATCTTTCCCGGTTTTTGCGGCTACGTTTTCTTCTACATTTCTAAGGCGCTTCAAGCGATCCTTATTGACTGATTTTTATTTTTTTTACGGCTTATCAACCCTTTTTAAGATATTTAAAACCGAAACATATTTCGGTTTTCAAGAGGTTGCTTACAGTACCGGCGTTCTGAAGCGGTCCCCCATCTAAATACCGAACAGGTTCAATGCTGCTTAACTTTGGAGATCCGGTATTTTCTGCGTGATTTGACAGTAGGTGACTCTCAAGAGAAGACAAAAAATTATGAAGTCGAAATCAGAAATTTGAAGCAGTAAAAATATAATCCCTTTTTAGTGGAGAGTGGCGAAAACAATGAAAATGCTGTCCGCTTCTTTGGAGGAGACTTGTTATTGCTTTGCCACCAGCAATATTTATCTTAGAATTCAAAGCCAAAAAATAATTAAAAAATGTATCAGAACGCCTCATATAAATTCAGATACGTTAGCAAGTATCTTCTATTGAAGGAGAAACTGAAACCCACTTCATATTTCTCTGGAAAGTCAATGCATTTATATGGATTCTGTAGAATATGTTCAGCACACACCCAACAAAACAACTAGGATCTCAAATCTGCCAGCTGACGGCTTCATAATCTGCCACAGAAAGACGTCAGCCGGTGTATAGGATTTACAGCAGAGATTAGCGATTATAACGTCAACAGTTTGTGTCCTTATTGTTCGGTTAATTTCGATATCTCCATCTTGTCTGCACAACAGAAAGTGCTTGCTACACATGCTTGTTGTTCAAGGATTTTATTTTGACTGCTAACCGTTAAGGACTCGAAAAAAAAAAAAAAAAAACAACAACAAAAGCAGAATTGTTACTGATATCTTTATTTGCAATAATAACACCTACTCTTTTAAGACGTTCTCTTTCTTTTTTTTTTCATTCCCTCTCTGTGACTCTCATTCTCTTTTTTTTTCTTTCTCTCACACTCATATAGAAATACCTGGTCGCTTACTCGATACTTGTCAGACGCTTTTCAATTCTATTATCCGAATATCGTTTAAACATTATTTCCGTTTTGACTGGAAAACACACGACCGACTCAAAGAATGAATTCTTTCACGGTAAATATTTCGACGTTTGTTGCACTCCATGAACTTTGTCTCAAATCCAATTCCACAGTGCACTCAGTGATCCACGAATATAATGCCAAAGGGTGGCGAGATGAGTTAATTGACGCGCCATATTAATTTGACACAGGCAAGAAATAGATCATAGCCAGTTATTTGGCAAACAAACGGCGTCACTGCCAAAATATGATAGCTGTTCCAGTCACAACCCGTTAACCACGAAACGTTGTCTGGAAGACAATTACGAATTACTGGATTGCAGAGAAATAAATTTGTTGTAGAATCACCACGACTAACAGTTACATTATTTAACATGATATATTTAAGTTAAAGTTTGCGGCCTGTTTAACACCCACCACAAACACTCCCCCTCCAACGCCCTGTCGCCTAGGGGTTCAGAATACGCCGACTGTACCTCTGCAGATGGGTAAGAGACCCGATAAGGCTTCCTGGGTATGACGATAAACTGCAACCGGCAGCAAGGCCTTTGATCAGAAAGTTTTGAGGAGCGTAAAACCACCTATTAAATGTTGGTGTTCCCATGTACACCCCGATCCGGGGTGGTAGCACCTGTTAGGGTCCCAGTTATGGGCGAATAGTAAACACTCAAACTGGGGTCGAAACACAATGAAAGTGTAAAAATAGGTTTTAATACGAGCAATATATTTTTGGAAAGCATTATTACCAGCAATAAATTTTTGAAAAGAAAATTTTAACCAGCAATAAAAATCTTGTCAGCATTAAATAACCCATTGAGGTAATATATGCCATAAACCAAACCAAACCAAACCAAACCAAACCTCTCTTTCTCTCTCTCTCTCTCTCTCTTTCTCTCTCCATCTGTCTCTTTCAAACACACACAAACATATGTACATTTATTAATATAAACGTTATTTTTAGTGAGAATACATATTCTAGTAGACATACATGTTTTTACTTTTTTTTAAAAAAATATCATATAAATATGAAATATAAGCGAGCAGATTTAGATAGCAGACATTTTTTTATTTCATCATTTCACCCCAAGAAAGGCAATAAAGTCACTAAGAAGCAAAGGGTTACTGAGAAGGAAAGAAAATGTGAAGACGTTAGTATAGAGAAAGGAGAATAAAAGAAAATATTTCAGGAAGACAGTGATTAAAGATCGTGTGCGGCAGAGAAGGAAGAAACCGGAAGAGTGTTCCACAGGCGAGGAGTGCGAGAAAAAAACTATTAGAATTGAACTTACGTTCACATCTAGCTATTGCAACATTATTTGGTTTAGTGATACAAGTCATACTAATTAACCCATAGCTGGGGGAGAAGAAGTGGATTTATACCTTTCTCAAGGGTATATGCGCGTAAGTGAATATGAACTCTACTGGAATTGGAGCCTGCTCTCTGATTAACAATGTCGAGCCCTTATCAATTACACCAACCGCAAATCCAAGCTTACAACACTTGGTATTCCCAAACGGTCACCCATCTAGATACTGACCAGGTTCGACATTGCTTAACTTTTGTGATCCTAAGGGATTCGAGGGGATATGGCTGTAAGCAGAATTCCTTGTGAATACAGATTCAATGTATCCAACAGCGTAGAGTTTGCTTAACAACTGCTACGGTTTCGCTTCTTATCGCAGACTATCCCAGCGTAGTGATTATCGGCCCTGCAATAAGTTCCATTCACCTTGAGACAGGTCTTGGTTATTTATCCTGCCCGGTGTTTAACCACCCTCCGCACCAGAAAAGCCTGAGTGGGGGAAGCGACTTAGTCACCGTTAATAAACGATTATTATCGCCCCCCCCCCAAGAAAATTCTTACAATCTAAAACTATTTTCTGACTTTTTCTTCTCTCCTCCGGTGGGCAGGTGAGTAGGTTGGTAATATTTAGTACAGCTTCTGTTATGTTGGTCTAACAGCTCAGCTCTTTCACCTACCAAATCCTCGTCCATTTTCTCATCCCGACGTGATGGGTGGCAGTATGCATTGTGGACACAGAAAGCACGCGACAGACGAGTCCGTCTTCCGCCAAGGGCAGACCAGAACTCTTCCTGATCCCACGAATGACTTTAATATAGGCCAGCATCCAGATGTACTTTTTTTCTGGTTTTGTTGCCACTTGATCACAGACAAAAAAAAATATCCACTCGTTTGCTTTTCGTTCCCAATGTGGATGCCACTTAGAAAACTCGACTTCAAATAGAACCACCTACTGGCTTTTAGAAACACTTGAGATCTAAAGAAAACCACATTTTCTATTTCTCCGTGGGTGTCGATAGTATCTCAATATAAATTATTCTCTTTATTTGTAATATGCCCATAAATGGCTTAGATATTTGCTCTTGTGATTGTGTAGCTGGTCTCCTATTGTAGGAATCAGCAGGAAGCAAGTAATACATTAGGATTATTTCCAATCATCTCTTTTCTCAAACACAAATGTACTATTTACTAATATGCTATACGCCTTAAACATACCTTTGAAGTTCCTCGCACACTTTAATTTAGCCTGCAAGCATTACTGAAAATTACAGAAAATACTAAAAAATTCCATCGGCCTCTTTTATTCCAACCACCCCGTCTATTTGAAACTGTTAATAGACTACATCAGTTATGTGCCATGCGTGACACACGCTTAGGCGATCATGTATTTTTCGATACATGACTGACGAGGCAGATTTTTTCCCCGCAGTAGGTTGTTATTTCTTTCTGCGGTAGACCAGTTGTCATCCTAGGCTATAAAACCCAGTCTGTTCTGCTATTTACCCATAGGTTGGGGTGTAGAAGAAGAGGATTCATACCTTTCCCAAGGATATTAGCACGTAAGTGAATGTAATGAATTCAACGGGAATCCGAGCTCGGCTCTCCGATTCCTCAATCCGTACCGTTATCCATTACTTCCCTGTGCTTCCTACCGAGTAGACTATAGACGATACTAATATAATACTCCCCGTAAATATATGTTATATTTGCATACTTCAACACCTGACGTGCTAGGAGAAATCTGAATTCCATTGGTAAGGAGGAAGTTCTACACAGTACAACTTATTCCTGTGAGCTATAAAACCCGGTCTGTTCTACTATTTGCCCATAGCTGGGGGGAGAAGAAGAGGATTCATACCTTTCCCAAGGGCATTAGCACGTAAGTGAGTGTAATGGATTTGACTGGAATTCGAACTCCCCTCTCCAATTTTTCAATTCGTGCCGTTATCCATTACTCCACCGTGCTTCCTTCTAACACAATATTTACCGTGAATATATGTTTTATTCGCATACCTCAGAAACTCGACGTGCTAGAGGAAATTTGAATTCCACTGGTAAGGAAGTTCTACACAATACAACTGATTCATCAGAACTGTTGCATTGTGGAACCTTTGCATTGAAGAGACCTGCGAGAGTATGTTTTTCCCCGATCATTACCATTTTCAAGTCTAGGGTTAACAGTTACATATTCGACATGTCCTCATAATATGAAGCTCTTTACTTCTTGTACATCCTTACAAGAAACATATTTAGTGACACTTTACCTTGTATTGGGTGAAACATGAGGACAAAAAAAAAAAAAAAGAAGAAATTGCTGAAAATTGTAGAAAGTTATCAAAATTTCCAGCCACTCCTTTTTATTTCAACCAGCTCGTGTATTTGAAACTCAGGTGTAAATACAGTACTAAAATACTATTAATATAACATTTACCGCGAATAAACAAGGTAAATGTTCTATTCATAGACATTTTATATCTCAAACATCTGACATGCTTGGACAATTCTGTGTAGAGTAACAGAATCGACTTATTCAATTTAGTCTTATACAGCATCGTTTGTCTGGGTAGCAGACCAAAAAAGTGTTTTTGTTGCCCAGGGTAATCGAGGCGTGTCTATGATCTGGGATGAGAGGCAACGCCGAAGAAATTTATTAGCAAATACAATTGAGACATTTGTCAATGGAGTGTGTGTGTGTGTGTGTGTGAATGTGGGCGACAGAAACGTAAAGTTTTCAAAGGTAAAATTATAATGTGTTATTACCGGATATCGCTACAGTCAACAGAATTGTATCAATTGTCGACAGACGGCGAAGTTTATGAGGAATATCGCGTGAATAAGCACCGAGTGCTTGAGACATTTTGCCCTGAACGCACATCCTATATTGTCGGTGCCTATATATATATATATATATATATGTGTGTGTGTGTGTGTGTTCATCTCGGCATTTGTATATTTATATACATATATAATTTATACATACACGTGTATACATATATATGCATATATATGTGTGTGTGTGTTCAAGTATATATATATACTTGTTCAAGTATATATATACTTGAGTGTATACTTATATGTATATATATATATATATATATATATATATATATAAGTATACACACACGTATATATATGTGTATGTGTTCATGTACACATGTTTATATATATATATACGCATAAGTATACACCTTTTACACATATGTACATATAATATTGTTTGTTGTCATGTATATATATATATATATATATATATATAGTATACACAAAGGTGTGCGTATGTATATTCTAATCATATACATACATATATATGTATATATATATATATATATATATATATATATATATTCAAATTTTTATATATATATATATATATATATATTCAAATTTTACATATATATATATATATATATATATATATATATATATATATATGTATGTATGTATGTGCACATATTCACAAACCTATATAAGTGAGATTCTGAACAGTGCAGCCTCTGGCCCACTTACAACATTTCATTATTTCAATACACACACATCAAAATATTGATTTTGGGAAGTGCGTATGGACGAGAACCTTTCAGTAACCCTTCTTATATATTCTCACATATGCTCGAGGCGTTATGGAGTTTGATATCTAAATAAAAGAAAGAAAAACGTTTTAAAATTCGATTCTTCATAGCAAATTCATTGTCTGGTAGAGCTGTGAACCGTGGTTATTTTTAACTATACTAACAAAAGCACGGCCGACAGAAGTCTGCTCGGTATAACAGCCGGATATATTGTAGAAATAAAAGTCCTACCAGGATTTATTATTGGTGAAGACAATCTTATTTGCATGAAATACGCAGATGCAGTATTGGACTTACCTATAAGCCAGTGAAGCTATAGCTTTGTGGCATATTTTTTAAAATATATATTTTTATTCTAGCATTAGTTTTTAACACTAAATCATCAAAAATTGTATATATTATTTTTCAACCGAATTGTTTTAGAGAAGCGTCTCGAATTTCATATAACTTAGTGCCTCAGCAGGTGAAAATCAGGCCCTGTTTACAATAAATATTCCATTAAATACTACAGATTCGTTTGTCAGTTGCTTACCATAACCAGTTAGGCATGTATCTTAGTGTTCAAACTGTCGTGCCTATCTGTTCATGAGTGGGAGTATTGGGGATGTCATGGTTAGGAGTCGAGAGGGTTCTTTTTTTAAGTTTGAAGAATGAGGCAGTCGGAGCGAGTAGGGCGTCATATCTGCATACTTTGGAACACTCAGTTAATTTTATTAATACCTGTTACCATACTGTACATATTTGGCTGTGGTGCATGTCATACTCTCATCAAATTGGGCCTCATGATGGCTACGTTGGGCTTCGTATATTTGTAACCCTGCGCCATTTTTTTGGCATGCTGCTTTCTCGATCAATAAGAATGGTCTTCTTTTTGAAACATTCAAACTATGCAATTTAAAATATGTAAATATGAAAATTTTTGTAACCTAGAAATGTTTACTGAATGAGGAATAAGCAAAATGGAGGTTGGAAATGAAATGGTAATCTTTATAACATCAACAAAATACAATACTCACCAGCGGCGTTAAGTAGATAAACCACTGCTAATGGTGGACTACATAGACAGCGTATTATCCCCACTTGCAATAGTGTCCACCATATTTATGAGCATTGGGACATACCCATTAGTTTTCATAAGTACAGTATAAAACAATGTCTTTTCTTTGTTCTTGGCTGTGTACACACTAATATATTTTCTCTTTTTTGTGTTAATCCTTTATATTTTTTATTTAACAGTAATCAGTACGTTTAAGTCAATGTGGAAGATCTTTTCCCTAGCTGCACAGTATATGTTTCCTCAGGGCTACATACAGTTTTAAATTCAGAGTTTTTGTTCTCCTATACAAGTTGCCTCCTATAACCCAATATGTCCTACTATTTATCCATAGATGGGGGGAGGGAGAAGAGTTGGAGTCATACTTTTCCTAATGGTATTAACATGTAAGTGAATTTGACTGGAATTCCAACTTGACTCTCCAATTCCCCAATCCAAGCCACAATTCATTACTATATTATACCGCCTAAATCCTTCATTAATTTTTACCTAAAGATAAAAGAAAATATCTATGTTGAAATTCATTCCTGATACTCACTGGGTACAATATCTTTCCTTCAGAGGTGACTGAACTTTTGCACAGATACTAACAGCCGAGTTTAATGTCTGTTGTAACCTAGAAAGGGTTACTAAATGAGAAATAACCAAAACAGA